CCCAGGTCTATTGGCTTTCGCATAAAGCAGATAAGCCTCAACCGTCAAACAAACATGTGCACATATAACAGATAATCACATAAGAGTCTATAGACAACAACTGATCTAACGGATCATACCACATAACACATAATATTATCCTACCCTCTAGGATACCGAACTAACAGGTGATACCACACATTACATAATATCATCTTACCCTTTAGGATACCGATCTAAAAAATCATACTAGCATAACATAACTAAATAACAATTCAAAGGGCCGCCCTTGGTGCCTTAGACCCTTGATTATAGTGAGGATAACTCACCTGACGCACTGCTGAAGTCCCGCAGATAAAACTCCAGTTGCTGGTTGACAGATTCTCAAACTGTCAACATCAAACAATACCCAATTAATAATTGGGTTCCAAGCCTAAGGTCCAACTCACACTACAAAAGCCCAAAAGTCAATTAATGGGCCAAAGCCCAACATATGGCCCAATTTTCTAAATTGGGCCCAGACCTCTACATGGTATTTCCTTAAGGCCCACCCAATTATTCCAATTTAATTCCCATGGCCCAATATCACATAATCATAAAGGCCCAATTATGGCCCATCTATGGCCCAATTTTCCAAATTGGGCCAAGTCCTCACATGAGTCTTATCCTAAAGCCCATCTAATTACTTTGGTCCATTAACTCGTTCTTGGATGGCCCACCAATAGTCCACTCGCCAAAGCCCAATAGGAAGGCCCAGCACAAGGTCCAAGTGAAATTAGGGTTTCACATAAAATGACAATCAGGGTTAAGTGTTTCTCACTTAACCCATTAAGGACTTAATCCATTAAGTCCCTCACTTTACTAAATAAGTCATATGGTGTGATTGGGCTTAATGCACAATTCCATTCCAATGGCCCAAATGTGGGTCCCGATAAGTCCAAGCCCATAATCCCAAAATTAGGGTTTTCTCATGAAATGATTATTAGGGTTAAGTGTTTCTTACTTAACCCATTAAGGACTTAATCCATTAAGGACTTAATCCATTAAGTCCATTATTGCCTTAAGTTAGTTTACCAATGATTATTATTTAATATTTCAAGTTTATTAAATAATTCTCGTGTGTGAGTCCCAATCAATTTCCACAAGTTAGGTTTTATGCCCTTAGGGTTTTCTAACCCAATATTAGTTCATTAGTCCATTGGTTGGGCTTTTAGGTCACATTGGGCCTTATTGGCTCATTAGGGTTCTATTGGGCCCACTAGGGTTTCTTTGGGCCCATTAGGGTTTCATTGGTCCCACATTGTCCAAATATCCCCCAAGCGAGGTCCAAACGCAAGCAAAGCACACCGCCACCCGACACGGCGGCCGGTGGCGGCATGAGGCGGCAACCACCACCTCACGGTGGTGGTTTTAAGTTTTTTTCTATTATTATTCCGGCATCGATTACAGTTTACAACCAAATCCGAATGGCATACTCACATACTAATCTAATAAAACACACACACACAGCCACCATTGTGGTGGCCGGTGGTGGTAAGTGGTGGCAGCCACCACCTCACGGTGGTGGTGGTGGTCTTCTTGGCTTTCTGGCCAAACCAAAACACACACACGCCCTTATAACAGAGATACACACACTAAGCACGACTTTTTCTTGGAATTGAACTCGACCACCCACCTCACGGTGGCGCACGAAGGCGACAACATGATAACGACCACCATGGTGGGCCGCCATGGTGGTTCCTGTGATGTTTCCGGCCAAAAGAGAGCATCCACATTTGCATCCGGCTAGCAAAAACCACCCGCCTGAACGAGGTTGTTGAATGCGCATCCACGCAACCACGACTGGTGGCGGACGACAACCGGAGCGCTGAAGGAGAGGGTCGCCTAGAGCTGTGGTGGCGACGTGCGTATATGAGCGTAGCGAGTGGGGAAACGGAGAGAAGATATGACTGAAGGTGACGGTAGTGGCACTCGCGAAGACTAACGGCGAGCAACAACAGCGTCCATCGGCGGCGACGAAGTGAAGGAAGTCGATTGCAGTTTGCCGGCAAGAGGTTTGTGGTTGGATTTGGTGGCTGAACGACTTCATGATGACGACTGGTGGCGGCTCACGTCTTCAGTGGCAGTGGGACGACATCGGTGGTGAAAGGCGGCGTAGGGGTGGTGCGGCGCCGGAGTTGGAGAAGGAGGGTGGTGGCGGCTACCATCTCTATTAGGGTTAGGGTTAGTATGGGGTGTATTATGAATATATATGTTGGCTGAAAGAGGGTGACGGGTTCAACCCGTGTCCACCACCAAGCATGTGCATTTTAACACATTTGGTCCCTCCCCATAAGAGTCTTTCCAACTTGAATCCGAAATTTACTCCTTTAGTCCCTACCTTTTAAAAATCCTTTCACAATAAGTTCAAAAATTACCAATCAACCCCCAGAACTTCCATTCTTGTCATTTGGCTTCCCGAAACCAACACCCCACTAATTATTATTTGATTTTGGGCTTTAATACTATAAAATAATAATAAAAATGACTTCTTGGGACTCCTGATTTATTATTTAATTAATCTACTTAAACGGGATGTTACATACATATTTTATGGGCAAGTATTATGGGCTTATAATATTTGAATAAAAAATTATTATTATAAAATTAATAAATTACGCCAAATAAACGTCTAAAAATAAAAGATTATTTAGGATAAATAGTCTTGATGAAAGTTGTGGTGAACGTGATGATGATTTCGTGGATATAAATGACGCCCAAATTTGATTTCGTATGAAGAAGTTATGAATTATCTATGTTCCGTGTTCAAACAGATACAAAAAAATAAGCCATGAAAAGTGAACCTGAGATATGTTGCTTTTTATCCCAAGTGATATCAACAAAAGTCGTAGTGCTCGTTAATATGTACTCGTCGATATAAAGAACGCCAAATGAGGAAGTTATGATTTTTCAAAGTTTTGAGTCCATGAAGGAGACCTAATTGTGAGTTTGGTTTGTCCTAAACCTTGTCTTATGACCATATGTTGGAAATGAAAGATCCACATGGATGAGAATGTATGCATCATCAAATCTAGGTGGCAAAGGTTTCGTTCTAATTCATGAAAATGGTTATGAGGAAACAGTTTCGCTGATAGATTTTAAGGATACGATAAAGATCAAAACATATATTTTTTGTATTAATTGCATTTTCAAATTCACAATATGATTATGGCATTCCTCTTCATATTTCGAATTGTGAGGAATGACAAAGAATTGTTTAAACTTTCAGGAGATATGTTTATCACGTCTTGAAAGGGTTTGAACATGTACATTATCTGGATATAGTGTATAAGCTTAAGAAGCCTAATTAGAGGCTTGACGAAGCATCGCAAAATAGGAATTTGCACTTCCATGAAAAGTCAAAGGGTATTGATTTCTAGAAGTCCAATTGATTTATGAGTACATGTCAAAACTAGTGGGAGCATAATTGTTATGTTTGTATTGCATGTTGACAATACTATTCATAAAGGACAATGTATCTAGTTTGCAAGTTGCAAAAGCTGGGAACTGTGTCGCTATAGTAGACATAAGGGAGAGGGTACTCATACTTTGTTACAAATCTAAATGTTTAGATCGTATAGTTTAACAGAACTTAGTCAAAGACATATATGAATATCATGTTGAAATGTTTCAACATTGGATATTCTATATATGGAAATATTATAGCAAGAGATTGAACAAATATTAAATTCGTATATAAGATATAATAAGTTGAGTCCCATATGCTTTGGATATATGGTCGATTATATATGCTATAATATTCATATATTCTAGTTTTTCAAATGCCCTGAGCATTGTGAGGAAAAATGACTAGAATTTGAAGCGACTAAAGTTATTAAACAAACTGTCAATAACATTATGAGGTTGATACCACAACTTATATATACACCAAAATATGTGTAGTCTGGAGCATTATACTCCATAGATGCCTTGATACGTTGTCATTGTCCTCCATTAGAAACTGGCACTCGGAAAAAATCCATATACATACTCATTCTTTTAGAAAACCATCAAAGAACGCTAATTGTAGACAAATTGGGGAACAAAGACACAAATATATTTTATTTAGCTTGTGGATGAACAAAGAACACAAAATAACCTATTTTTACTACTTCGGATTGACACTCCGAAATAGTCGTACATTCCGGAGTACAGTCCGGAATACACTTTTTCAGTCTGACACGTACGAGTGTCATATTCTACCCACAGACTCTACCAACCACCATCAAATCCAAAATGAACATAAATACTATGGAATATCTTATTCCGGAAAACATAGTCCATAATCCATTTTGGCAGTCCGAACCTTACGATTGTTAAATTCTGGACCCAATACCTACAAACGACACTAGCTTTGGAATGACCGTAAATACTATGGAGTACGATATTCCAGAAAAACTGATAATTTTACAAAAAAAAGATGGTTATTATTATTAAAATACTCGTTTATATAGGTTATATACTTATATAGGTCAGATTACTCAGTTTCCCATAAAAATGAGCCAATTTTGTCATTATAGAGAAGTTTAGTGGCCAAAAAGATATTATTCATTTCAAAATCTTAAGCGGCGGAAAAGAAAGAGAAAGAAAAACCGAGCGAGAAACGAGGCGTGGAGTTGCCGTCCGAAAACATTCGGAGTTTAGAGTTAGGGCACCAAAAGTAAAAGGAAAATCTTAAAACACGAGTAAATTAAGGCAATGTGATTCACTGATTTTGGGGAAAATTTAGCAGACAGATCAGCAAAAAAAGAATTGAATATTATCATCTTAGATCTTGATTTCTTTATTTTTTTTCCCTAATTGATTCCGATCGATCAGCTCACTTCGATATTTTTTCTATCCCGATTTTGAAACTAGTTGACGGAGGGTTTATGAGCTCGGAGATCCTCCGGATATTAAATATAATCGGTGCTGGTGTGCCGTTAAATTGATTGGTTGTTTTGTTTAATTTATTTTCCGGCCGATGAGTGTTAATTAAAACGATGAAATGGGTATCATTGTTTAAAGACATCAAAGATAAGGTAGGATTCTCAGCGCCTACATCAGCTGCATCTTCTTCATCCCCTTATCCTGACCAGAATAGTAACAATGCCACTTCTTCAAGCTACGATGACCCATTGTCAAGGTCAGTTCTTTTTTCTTTCTGTTTCCCGTTTTTTCTTTTCAATTACGGGACACATTAGTATGGAAATGATGTCTGTTGATCATTTAAAGAGATACATGTTATTTTTACTTGTCAAGAACTCGGAGCAGTAGGTATCCTGGAATTGAGTTGTTTTTCCTGTAGTAATCTATATGAAGTTAACAAACTAAAGTGTTTGGATGATGTTTTGGAACTGGAAAATCCTGGACAATAAAGAAAGGGAACTAGATGGTTTAAGAAATATAACCTCAACAAAATGTAGATGGAATACTCACATCTTTTTTTTTTTCTATCATTCCACATGACCCACATAATGAAAATGGTAAATGCTCAAAATGACCAAAACCAAGTTGCTTGCATTTTTTGTCATCTATAAAGGGTCCAGTTGATGTGAGATGGATGTGGTTTCAAGAGTTGTGAGAACTGAGATATATGCAGTTGTGTCATTGTGTGTGACTGTGTGCGTGTGGGGTCGTGACATTAATGTCAAAACAAATATATTGAACACATATGCAAGTTCAATGATAATTGGCATGTTCACGTGTTTTGGCGTATGATGGAGTATTCTTGCCTATTAAGGCGAAATCATTTATTTAAATGTTAATTTCTAGATATTTATTATCAAATGTAAATTGTAAACCACTCGGTCACTCAGGATACATTGGCTTCACCTTGTATCTCATTTATTTTTACCTGGTTAATGCAGAGAAAGATATGAACTGGAATTGGACTTCAAAAGATCTTGGGAAGAGTTTAGAACATCGACTTCAGAGACGGTTGGTGCATGTTTCAATTATAAGTCATTTCATTATTTAATTATAGAATAACTGCTGACTGTGGTTGATGGTTTCCATTTGTCCATGCAGGAGAAGGAAAAAGCCTTGAATGTCACTATTGATGTCTTCTGTAGATTAGTAGAGCAGCATTCCAACATAGCACAGTTAAATACCTTGTATGAAATCAACTACCCTTGTCCTTTTATATTGCCTTGATATTCCCTAATTAAGAATCATTAAATTGCCCTACAACCATGTAGAATTTTTGATTAAATATGATAAAAGAAATAACTGTAATTCTCACAAGGATTCTTGTTGATCCACAGGTTAGTAGAGACACACATATTTTCTTTTGTGGTGGGTAGAGCATTTGTCTCAGATATTGAAAGGTTAAAAGTTAGCAATAAGACAAGATCCTTAGAGATTGAAAGTGTGATAAGTTTTTTTTCTGAGGATACTCAGGTTTTCTTTTCTTTCTGTCTTTCTCACCTGCTTATTCAATGTGGAGTTATGAACTTGGTTTTTATGTGTACATACATTTATGCTTGACTTCTACAGGATGGAATTCTGTATGGTTCAAATCTGCTACATGCAGTTGGATTTCTTGTTTCTGGGGTACATCCTAAGCTTTCCTTTTTAGAAATAAATAATTTTGTGCTTTTAGTTTATTTTTAGCTCTATCTCAATAATGAATCTTTATTACATTGTTTGCAGCCTATTGATAAACAGTCTCTCCTTGATTCTGGGATCATGTGTTGTCTTGTTCATATTCTTGATGCTCTTTTGGGTTCTGATGGAGGGAATGTGAGGCAACATGTTGTCACTGCTGAGGAGGATTCAGAGGTAACAGAGAATGTAGCTCCAGATAAGCGGTTTGAGGTATGCCATTTGTTATCATTTTATATTTAAATGAAAATATTGATAAGTTTGCTAATGGTTAGTTTTGTTGTTGAAGGTAGAGGGCAGTATTCTGCATATCATGAAGGCATTGGCAAGCCATCCTGCAGCTGCTCAAGGTTTGATTGAAGATGATTCTCTGAAGCAGCTCTTTGAGGTGGTTGCCAATGGGTCTTTGGTTCTGTTTTCAAGATACAAGGAAGGTCTTGTACCCTTGCACACCATTCAGCTTCATAGGCATGCAATGCAGGTGATCTTTAAAACATTTGTATAGATTCCAACTCAGCACCTTATTATTGTCACCATCATCTTCATGACTACAAATTCTGTCTTAATTTTAACCTAATACAATTGTTGTTCTTTCCCTCTTATCCAGGTACTGGGTCTTCTTCTTGCCAATGACAATGGAAGCACTGCTGCGTACATAAGGAAGCACCAGCTGGTAATTATCACATTCTGTTATCCTGAAATAAAATTAGGTTGTTTAAGATTCTTGAGTAACCATGTCGCTTTTCTTGATTATTTGAACTTAAGACTTCTGTGGATGCCATGTGGCAAGATTTGAGTAGTTGGTTAGCCACTATATTATTCCTGCTTGAACAGCAGTTACTCTATATGCTCTTAAAGGTTGTTTCTTTTTGACTTAATGAGCTTTATGGGTTAAGCACTTAATCTAGACATAATGACTTAATGGGTTAAGCCAAAAAACCTGGCTTAATGTATTGAGACACCAACCTTTTAAGCTTTACCTATTCATCCTCTCATGTTGTTATTGATGAATATTTTATTAGAACTGATGAATTATGAATCTTTTTTGTTGGAATGTCAGGGTAAAATGATCATTTAGTCTCATTCAGATGGTTTATTCGGTCTAGAAAAGAAACATACCTTATGTATACAAGATTTATTCAGACAAACATTATTACCCATGTGTCTGATAGTTCTGATATGTGTAATAATTTATATGTCATGTGCAGATAAAAGTACTGTTAATGGGCGTGAAGGGCTTTAGTCCTGAATCTGGAGACCCTGCTTATACAATGGGTATTGTGGACTTGTTGCTTGAATGTGTGGAATTGTCATATAGACATGGTAAGTTACTTGGTTTATTTTCTTTTGTAATTGCACACTGATGATTATATAGCCCTGACTGGTCATAATTTTGATTTGTAGAGGCTGGTGGTATCAGGCTCAGGGAAGACATTCACAATGCTCATGGATACCAATTTCTCATTCAGTTTGCATTAGTTCTTTCAGGAGATCAGGGCTCTCAAATTAGTCACTCTGAACAAAATCCCGATTCAGAAGGGTCAAAATCAACAAATGACATGGACACCTATGACACCTCATCAGAGTCTCTCACACCCACACTTTCCAGGTTGCTTGATGTTGTTGTTAATCTAGCTCAAACAGGCGCAACTGAGTCAACCGGGACCCCTGGCTCAAAGGGTACAAAAAACCGTCTAAATCCCGATGACACTTACAAAGTTAAAGACCTAGATGCTGTCCAAATGCTTCAGGACATATTTCTAAAAGCAAATAGCAGGGAGCTTCAGGCTGAGGTGTTAAATAGAATGTTCAAAATCTTCTCAAGTCATCTTGAAAACTACATGTTATGTCAACAGCTGCGAACTGTTCCCCTTTTGATCCTAAACATGGGTGGCTTCCCTCCTTCCTTTCAAGAAATTATCCTCAAGATTCTTGAATATGCAGTGACTGTTGTAAATTGCATACCAGAGCAAGAGTTGCTTTCACTTTGCTGCTTGTTGCAACAGCCAGTAACATCCGAATTAAAGCGCACTATCTTATCATTCTTTGTGAAACTCATATCATTTGATCAACAGTACAAAAAGTTCTTACGGGAAGTTGGTGTGCTGGATGTTCTATTAGATGATCTTAAACAGCACAAGTTTCTTGTGGGCCCAGAGCAAAATGACAATGATAGCCCTCATGAGATGGAAAGGAAGTCCAACCCAAACGGTTTCATGAAACATTTAGACAGTAAAGATGTGATTCTATCGTCTCCTAGGTTATTGGATTCTGGATCTGGAAGTTTTCCTCTTTTTGAAGCTGAATGCATAATTCCAGCTGCTTGGGATTGTGTGCTTTCTTTATTGAGGAAAGCTGAACATAATCAAGTGATCTTTCGTTCTGGTGATGGTGTTACTACTGCTCTTCCTTTTTTGGCATCTGATGTCCACCGAGCTGGCGTCCTAAGGGTATTATCATGCTTGATCATTGAGGACTCTGCACAGGTTGGCAATGCTTCTTTCTGTTTAGCTTTTCTAAGGGACTGTTTCTTTTTGAGATAATCTGGCACTTAAACTGGACAGCTCTACATGACTGTTCATTTTGACTTAATCTAGGCAGAATGACTTAATGGGTTAAGCCAAAAAAACCTGGCTTAATAGATTACGACACTATCCTTTTACCTATTTGTCCTTTTTCCCCTGAACTTCTTGTAAACTAGAAAATAGATTTAGGGTGAAAATAACCTTGTTAATTGTACACTTATTACAAGAAGATGTCAGGGTATATAAAGAGGCAGGATCCCTAGACATATGAAACCCTACGGGCCCATGGGCTAAAACTAGGTTAATGCATATGTACAATATTTACATTCCAATACTCCCCCTCAAGCTGGATCATAAATGTTATACATTCCCAGCTTGTTACAAATTGCAGATATCCGCAAACCAGGTAAAGCTTTGGTAAAGACATCAGCTAGTTGGCTTGCTGTTCGAACATGAGGAGTAGAGATGGTTCCATCTTCTAGCTTTTCACGAGTGAAATGACAATCTACTTCGATATGTTTAGTCCTTTCGTGAAACACGGGATTGTTTGCAATATGGATAGCCGCCTCATTATCACAATACAGGTTCATTGGTTTTGATTGAGCAAACCCAATTTCACCTAACAAATTCCGTACCCATATCAGCTCACATGTAGTCTGCCCTGTATTCAGATTCGGCACTTGATCGTGAAACGACATTTTGCTTTTTACTTTTCCACGAAACTAGGTTCCCTCCGACAAATACACAATAACCTGTGGTAGACCGTCTGTTTGTAGGATCTCCATTGTAATCAGCATCTGTGAACCCTTCAATGACATGATGACCATGATTTTGATATAGGATGCCATGACCAGGAGCACCCTTTAGGTACTTTAGAATATGAGTAACCGCATCCCAATGAGAAGTTCGAGGTGACGACATAAACTGACTTACAACACTCACTGGAAAAGCAATGTCTGGACGTGTAATCGTCAAATAGTTAAGTTTTCCCACAACTCTTCTGTATTTCTCTGGGTTCTCAAGTGGATCTCCATCGTCTGCTTTCAATTTCATATTCGGAACCATTGGGGACTCACAAGGCTTTGTTTCAATCATCCCAGAATCTCTCAGAATATCCAAGCAATATTTTCGTTGAGACAAACAGATCCCTTTTCGAGTACGAGAGACCTCAATTCCCAAAAAATATTTTAAAGGACCTAGGTCCTTGGTTTGAAATCGAGATGCAAGAAAATCTTTCAGTTTCTTGATTCCAGTTCCATCACTCCCAGTAATCACAATATCATCAACATACACCACTAGCAGAATGCATCCAGAAGAAGATGAAGCAAAGAACACAGAATGATCATAAGAGCTTCTTCGTAAGCCAAACTCTTTTACCACAGCATTAAACCGTCCAAACCAAGCCCGAGGGGATTGCTTTAAACCATACAATGATTTACGCAACTTACAAACCCTGCTATACCCCCCCTGAGCAACAAACCCAGGTGGTTGCTCCATATAAACTTCCTCATGTAAATCACCATGTAGGAAGGCATTCTTCACATCTAGTTGGTGAAGGGCCCAGCCATAAGTAGCAGCTAATGAAATGAACAAGCGGATGGAAGATACCTTAGCCACAGGAGAGAATGTCTCTGAGTAGTCAACCCCATAAGTTTGAGCATATCCTTTAACAACCAACCGTGCCTTCAGATGAGCCACAGATCCATCCGGGTTGACTTTCACCGTGAATACCCATTTACAACCGATCGCCTTTTTACCTACAGGTAATTCTACCAACTCCCATGTATTATTATGATCAAGAGCATTGATCTCATCAATCATAGCATCCCGCCATCCAGAATGGTTCAAGGCTTCACCAACCGTTTTAGGAACATGTCTATCAAGTGTAGAGATCATAGAGCGTGAAGCTGCAGACAGTTTACCATAGGATACAAAAGAGGCTATAGGGTACGTACATGAACGCTTACCTTTCCTTAGGGCAATAGGAACATCAAGATCAGGTTCCCGTGTATCGGAAGGTGATGAATCGCTCATAGCAGGAGTCTCATCAGTACTTGGATCTGCAGAAGAAGATGGTATTGGATCGGGATTTGATGTAGGTCGTTGGCGTCTATATACGTGAATAATTGGTGGCTTAATATGCTCTTCACGTTGTATGGAGTTACATGGGCTAGGAGACTCAGGAGCAGGTATGGTATATACCAACAGATCATCAGACACACTTGGGTTGGAACGATTGGTCATAGGAAAGAAGGGTATATTTTCATGAAATGTAACATCTCGAGATACAATGTACCGATTGAGTGTAGGAGAGAAACACTTGTAGCCTTTCTGAAGTCTAGAGTAACCAAGGAAGACACATTTCAAGGACTTCGGATCCAACTTGGTTAGGTGTGGTCGGGTATCACGAACAAAACACGTACTCCCAAAGATCTTTGGTTCGACAGGAAACAATGACTTTGTAGGAAATAGAACCGAGAGTGGACTCATACCATCCAAGACAACAGAAGACATTCTATTAATGAGAAAACAAGCAGTAGAAAGCGCATCAGCCCAATAAGTTTTAGGAATAGACATGTGAAATAGAAGAGCCCGAGCCACCTCTAAAAGATGACGATTTTTCCGTTCTGCGACCCCATTTTGGGCTGGTGTGTCAACACAGGAAGACTCATGAAGAATACCATTTTAAAGCATGTAAGACTGAAATGTTTGAGACAAATATTCTTTTGCGTTATCACTACGAAGGGTTTGGATGGCGGTTTTAAATTGTGTTTTAATCTCAGCATAGAATGAACAAAAATGTGTAAACACTTCAGATCGGTTTTTCATAAAATAAAGCCAGGTAGTACGTGAATAATCATCAACAAACGTAACAAAATATTTAAACCCAAGTTTTGAAATAACAGGGCATGGTCGCCAAACATCAGAATGGACTAACTCAAATGGGGATGAAACCCGCTTATTGACTCTTGGACTTAAATGAATACGTTGGTTTAGCAAACTGACAAGACTCACACTGTAAAGACGTTAAATAAGAAAACTCAGGACACAACTTCTTTAGATTCTGCAGAGACGGATGACCTAATCGACAATGAACTTCAAATGGGGATGAAGTGGATGACGCCAAAGAGTAAGGTGTTAGATGTTCGAATATGTATAGGCCATCAGATTCCCGTCCTCTACCAATAATCTTCTTCGTCGACAGATCCTGAAAGACACAATAATCAGGAAAGAATGAGACAACACTTTAAGGCATGGGTAATTTTGCTAACTGATAACAGATTGAACGAGAAATTTGGTAGACTCAATACAGAGGATAAGGAAACAGATGGCGTAAGTTCAATAGTGCCAGAACCAAGAACATGTGGGGTAGACCCATCAGCGATCGTGACATGAGATGAAGATGTGTGTTTATCAAGACTAGAGAAGAGGGTAGGATTACCTGTCATGTGATCTGAGGCACCTGAATCGATTACCCATTTTGAGGCAGAAGATAATAGGCATGTATTAGGGTTACCTTTTTCAGCAAATGCAACAGTTGGACCAGTGGAGTTCTCAGTCTTTAAAAGGCGTGCATATTCTTCTGCGGGTATGGTAATAGTGTTGTCTGATGCAGAAGCAACATGTGCTGATGAGCTTTTCTGATTTCTAAACAAGAGCTTCTTACAAGTGCGTTTGGTGTGACCAAAATCATGACAATAATAACACTCAACGTCATCAGAAGTTGAGATAGCAACCCGTGATTCTGTAGTTCGGTCACTATGACCACCTCTAGAACCCCCTCTGTGACCCCCACGAGATCCTCCTCGGGAGCCACCATGAAATCCTCCTCGACTAACCAAAGCACTATTATGATCAGAAGGTTGTGGAGACTGAATATTCTCATTTCGAAGAACACGAGCAAATGTTTCTTGAAGGGAAGGAATGGCGGATTCATTCAAAAACTGAGATCTGATAGAGTCGAATTCTGGTCGCAAACCAGTCAAGAAACTGATTCCAGCCACTTGTTCTCTCTGAGTCTGCATAGCTTGGACATCAGCACTCAAGGGAAGAAGGGAGTTGAGCTCCTCATATACTTTCTTAAATTCCATGACATAAGTGGTGAGTGATCGATCTTGTTGTTCCCCACGATGAAAGGACTTACAAACACTATAGATTCGTGAGATGTTGCTTTGTCCAGAATATAAGAAGTTAAGATAGTCCATAAGTTCTTTCACATATTCACAGTGACTAACCAGAGAAGAGACAGAAGGCTCGATAGTATTGACAATCTGCAAATACAAACGAGCATCACTTTGTAGCCACAAATCAGAACCATCACCTTTGGGGGGATCAGATGTGAGATGAGAAGCCATTCCCATGCTTCGGAGGTAGATCCGAATAGTTTTGTTCCACTCAAAGAAATTGGAGCCATTAAGTTTGTTGTCAGTGAGTCTAGCAATTACCGGAAGCAACTCAGGTACTCGTGGAGCATTGCTGCTGGATGATTTGTCTCCTCCGGACATCTTTACGAACTAGAAACAAATAAGAAAAGAGAACGGCACTCACAGGATGCCCTAATCAGAAAACGGTGCACTCACAAGGTGCTGGAACACCGATGAACAATACCGATGAACAGTACTTCGTGAACAGTAATCTCTCAATGCAAAAAACCCTCCAACCCTAGACCTCTCTCTGATACCATGTAAACTAGAAAATAGATTTAGGATGAAAATAACCTTGTTAATTGTACACTTATTACAAGAAGATGTCAGGGTATATAAAGAGGCAGGATCCCTAGACATATGAAACCCTACGGGCCTATGGGCTAAAACTAGGTTAATGCATATGTACAATATTTACATTCCAATACTTCTCTCACGTTAAAACTGATGAATATCATATGATTTGTTTTTTGGAATGTAAGGGTAAAATGATCATTTAGTCTCATTCAGACGGTTTATTCAGTCTAGAAAAGAAAAATACTTTATTTTTACATCACTTTATCCTGACAACATCATAACCCCTCGTGTGTAGGTGTAACACCTTATTTGTATAATCAAGTTATATATGAAGCATCATTTTTTTTTAAATATTCAAGAAATTGATTTGCATGCTTTTTATTTCTATGATTGGAACTTAATAAGTGATCAAATCTATAATCTTCAATAATAGGCTCATCCAGATGAATTGGGTGCACTGGTTGAAGCTTCAAAGAGTGGGATGGTAATCAGCAAATCAGGATCTCAGTACAAGCTCACATATGATGCAAAATGTGATATTTTTGGAGCCGTATGGCGAGTTTTAGGAGCCAACAGCTCTGCTCAAAGAGTATTTGGTGAAGCCTCTGGGTTTTCCCTTATCCTAACAACACTTCATAGTTTCCATGGAGATAAAGGCCACGTCAGCCAGTCCTCATCAACAGTCTGCATGAAAGTTTTCACATATATGTTACGTGTCATAACTTGTGGAACATCCAACAATGCTGTTAATAGAACAAAACTACATGCGATTATATCTTCACATACTTTCTGTGATGTTCTATCCGAATCTGGATTGATCTGTATGGAGTATGAAAAGCAAGTGATGCAGTTGTTCTTTGAACTTGCTCTTGAGATTCTCCTTCCACCCTCCTTCAAACCAGAAACTAGTGAAGCATCTGATGATCTTGACAACGTCTCTAGTACTTTCCGAATAATCACACCATCAGCTTCAGTTCATCATGATAAGCACCACATATATAATGCTGCTGCAGTGAAGGTTCTCATCCGTTTATTGCTGCTTTTTAGTCCAAAACTTCAAGTGGAGTTTTTGAAACTTCTAGAAGAACTTGCTCGTGCTAGCTCTTTTAACCAGGAAAGCCTTACCTCTGCAGGTATTCTTGTACATAATTTTTCGATTTTTAGTCCCATTCTATTTTTTTTTTTTTAATATTCGATGATGACTTAACTTGTAATAATCTGATATCTGATAAACTGCCTTCTATAAGTCTAGGCAAACTGTCTAAATAGTTGTTAGAGCAACTACTAAGTAGCATCTTACCTTGCTATTTGTTTTTTTTTGGTTAGGTTGTGTGGAACTTCTTCTTGAGACAATATATTCTTTTCTTTCTGGTTCATCCTCTCTACTTCCCCATGCTTTAAGAATCATTGAAGTACTTGGGGCGTATAGGTTGACATCAGCAGAGCTTCGAGTGATTATAAGATATATTTTGCAAGTGAAACAGATGAAATTGGGTCAGACTCTTGTTGATATGATGGAGAGGTTTACAGATTCAGAAAGCATTCCTCTTGCAGCGTTTATAGAGATGGATATGAGCAAATCGGGGCATGCTTGTATTCAAGTACCATTAGGCGAGAGGTCATGGCCCCCTGCTGCTGGTTACTCATTTGTTTGTTGGTTTCAGTATCAAAACTTGTTGAAATCAGATGCCACAACAACAGGTCAACAAGTCATGCGAATATTCTCTGTTGGTGGTACAGATGTTAGTAGTAACAATATGTTCTATGCAGAGATTTATCTTCAAGATGATGGAACATTAACCCTAGCAACCAGCCATTCGTCTTCATTATCTTTTTCAGGATTAGATATAGACGAGTACAGATGGCATCATCTTGCTGTGGTACACAGCAAACCGAATGCATTAGCTGGACTATTTCAAGCTAGTGTTTCACATGTGTATCTTAATGGAAAACTTAGACACACAGGTAGATTAGGCTACTCTCCAACATCTTCTGGGAAGTCTCTCCAGGTAACAATCGGGACACCGGTTGCTTGTGCAAGGGTCAGTGACCTGTCATGGAAAATCCGGTCTTGCTATCTGTTTGAAGAAGTATTGACACCTGGTTCTATTTTCTTTATGTATATTCTCGGCAGAGGGTATAGGGGTCTTTTCCAAGACACAAATTTGTTACAGTTTCTCCCAAACCAGGCTTGTGGTGGTGGAAGTATGTCCATTTTAGATTCCCTTGAAACTGATTTGGCATTGGCTTCTTCTTCCAACACACAGAAGCCCGAGAGTGCTAATAAGCAAGACACCTCTAAAACCGATCGCAGTGGCATTGTTTGGGATCTTGAAATATTAAGAAATTTCTCGCTACAGCTTTCTGGAAAAAAACTAATATTTTCATTCGATGGAACATGTACAGAAGCTTTCAAAGTATCCGGAACCTTGTCAATGCTCAATTTAGTTGATCCATTGTCAGCTGCTGCTTCACCAATCGGAGGTTTGTTTGTTACAACTTGATGACTTATACATATAAATAAGAAGAGCTTATGTCATGATTTAACATCCAATTATTCTGTTGATTTAACAACCAATTATTCTGTAACCAACTCTAATGTTCGTTCAAAATGTACCAACATGCTATAGCATATTTAATGTCGCGTTGAGGTGACATATGTGATGCTGATGTGGCATCCAAATTGTTATATCGAGAACAATCTGTGTTTAACTCGTTCCAACAACTCAAGTGCATAGGACTCAGCTTTGATATATGTCTTTTTCTTCCTTTTGTGACCTATTCAACTAACGATTAATGGATCTTTATTGTGATTTATATTATTTAAACAATATAAAATAAAGGTAACAATTTGGATGCCACCTCAATGGGATACCTGCAATAGCAGGTCAAAATGGTATATTTTGAACAGACATTAGAGTTGGTTACCATCCCAGACACATCAAAATGAGAATAGTGACTAAATGAGCACACACGAAATAATTGGTTGCTAAATCATGACATAAATCCTAATTTAACCCAACTTTATCATCTTCATAGTCGATATTTTCACTAGTGCTTTCTTCCTCCAGGTATACCGCGATATGGACGCCTTCATGGAGATATTTATGTATGCAAACATTCTACAATAGGCGAAACAATGCGTCCCATTGGTGGAATAGCCCTTATTTTAGCCCTTGTTCAAGTAGCTGAAACCAGAGACATGCTGCATATGGCGCTAACACTTTTTTCTTGTGCACTTCTCCAAAATCCTCAGAATGTCAGAGACATGCAATCATATAGAGGATACCACTTGCTAGCACTTTTACTACATCCAAAAATGTCACTATTCGACATGCATTCACTCGACATCTTTTTCCAGATAGCTGCTTGTGAGGCTTCATTTCATGGACCAAAAAAGTTGGAAAAAACTAATAATATGTCACCTGTTGAGCCTGTCAAAGAAGCCAGCTTTGAGGACCTGTCAAAGTTTCATGATGATGCTTCTTCTGGTGGTTCACATGGAGATATGGATGATTTTTTAGGGAATAAAGATGCTTTCAGTCATATCTCAGAACTCGATATAAATGTCGACTTACCAACAGAAATATCAAACTGTGTTGTTCTTTCAAACCCAGATATGGTTGAACATGTGTTACTAGATTGGACTTTGTGGGTAGCAGCAACAGTTCCAATACAAATTTCCCTTCTGGGATTTCTTGAAAATCTAGTTTCAATGCATTGGTATCGAAACCATAATCTTACAGTTTTGCGTAGGATAAACCTTGTTCAGCATCTGTTAGTGACACTTCACAGGGGTGATGTTGAAGTTCCTGTGTTAGAAAAGTTAGTCACTCTGCTAGGAGTGATTTTGAAAGATGGGTTTTTGGTTTCTGAACTGGAACATGTTGTTAGGTTTGTGATCATGACCTTTGATCCACCGGAGCTGACATCAAGAAATGAGATTTTAAGAGAATCAATGGGGAAACACATTATTGTTAGAAACATGCTGCTTGAGATGCTAATTGATCTAGTAGTGACCATTACATCAGAAGAGCTTCTTGAACAATGGCATAAGATTGTCTCCTCCAAGTTGATAACTTACTTTTTTGATGAAGCAGTTCATCCTACAACTATGAGGTGGGTGATGACTCTTCTTGGTGTGTGCCTCACTTCTTCTCCTACTTTTTCTGTCAAGTTTCGGACAGGTGGCGGGTACCAAGGTCTGGTGAGGGTGCTTCCTAGCTTCTATGATTCCCCTGATATATATTACATACTGTTTTGTCTCATATTTGGGAAACCCGTTTATCCAAGATTACCTGAAGTTCGTTTGCTGGACTTTCATGCCCTTATGCCAAGTGATGGAAGTCATACAGAGTTGAAATTTCTTGAACTTTTAGATTCTGTGATTGCCATGGCGAAATCCACATTTGATAAGTTGTCCATTCGAACAATGATTGCCTATGAAACTGGTGCTGCTGGGCTTGTTGCAGAGCTTGTGGATGCATGTACAGAGATGACAGGAGAGCTTCAGGGTGAAGCTTTGATGCACAAAACTTATGCTGCCAGGATTATGGGTGGAGATGCTTCTGCTCCTGCTGCTGCAACTTCTGTCCTAAGGTTCATGGTTGATCTTGCCAAAATCTGTCCTCCTTTTTCTGCTGTGTGCAGGAGAGCTGAATTTCTTGAGAAGTGTGTGGATCTTTATTTCTCTTGTGTCAGGTTCTACATCTTCCCCTTGGCTTATTTGTGTATCATGTCAGGGATGATTATATGGAATAACAACCTACTTTACTTATATTTTACCCATAATAGCAACATACTTGCATCAGTATACATAATTAGAATATACTTCTAACCTGAACATTGTAAAACGCTTACAAGTTTCATTTCACATGTTGCTCATATCTCTAAAAAAGTTACAAGTACGTTGCTATTATGTGTTTACATATTGCTATTATCTGTAGCATATCAAGTATGTTGGGAGTAAAGTACGTTGCTATTTTTTGCAATCTGCTCATTGTTTTATTATTCAGAAAGCTTTTGTCGAAGACCTTAATAATCATGTGTTTGTAAATTGTAGGTCGGCTCATGCTGTGAAGATGGCAAAAAAGCTGACAGTGAAGTCAGAAGACAAAAATCTAAATGAGTGTGATGAAAGTCCTAGTTCTCACTATAGCTTGCCACTTGATCAGGAACACTATTCTAAAACCTCCATAAGTCTTGGAAGCTTCCCTCCAGGCACAAGTTCTGAAGATGCTCCTGTTGCTGCCACAACCAATTCCGATGGATATCAACCAAATAACATAACCTCGTCCCCACTGGAATCACACAAGCCGGTTGAAGTAGCTGATCAAATGTCCACTGCGGAATCTGACACTAAGGATTTCAGTTTCCATGATCAGAAAACCACTCCGGAATCAGACAAGCCGGTTGAAGAAGTTGATCAGGTGCCCATTGCAGAATCCGACACTCAAGATTTCAGTTTCCATGATCGGAAAACCACTCCGGAATCAGACAAACCGGTTGAAGTAGTTGACCAAGTGTCCATTGCAGATTCTGACACTAAAATTTTCAGCTTAGATGATCAGAAAACCACCCCGGAATCAGACAAGCCAGTTGAAGTAGTTGACCAAGTGTCCACTACAGAATCCGACACTAAAGATTTTAGTTTCCATAGTCGCAAAACTACTCGCCAAGGAAGTTCACTGAGTTGTGTGTCGTTAAACATATTTGATTCTCCATATTTATCAGAAAAAACCACCGGGGTCCACAAAGCACAATCTTCATCACAACTTTTTGCAATGAGTTCATGGCAAAGTCCCAATTTCAACGAATCAAAACCCAAGTTAGCTCCATCTCCTTCCATGGCATCTTCTGTATCCATGACTCTATCTCTAAACGAATACGATACATCTTCAGACTCCAAACGAACAACCCAACTACAAAATCCCACAGACACATACTTCCCAATCAACCCACTTCTGTTACTCGATGCAGATGATTCCGGTTATGGAGATGGTCCCTGTTCAGCAGGAGCAACTGCCATTCTGGATTTCATGGCAGAAGTTCTTTCCGATGTTGTAACCAACCAATTAAAAGCTACAGCAGCAATCGAAACCATTTTGGAAAACGGCCCTTTGTACATTGATGCTGAATCTTTATTAGTTTTTCAAGGTTTGTGTCTTAGCAGACTGATGAACTTTCTAGAAAGACGAATCTTGCGTGACGATGAAGAAGACGATAAGAAACTTGACAAGGTGCGATGGTCATCGAATTTAGACGCATTATGTGTTATGATTGTTGACCGTGTTTACATGGGCGCGTTTCCGGAACCTTCCGGAGTACTCAAAACCCTTGAGTTTTTATTGTCGATGCTGCAGTTAGCAAATAAAGACGGTAGAATCGAACAAGCAGGCCCACCCGGGAAAGGAATCTTATCAATAGGGAGATCAAAACAACTCGATGCTTATATACTTTCGATGTTTAAAAACATGAATCGAACGATTATGTACTGTTTTCATCCACAGTTCTTGATCTCAGTTGGAGAAGATGAACTTTTATCACGCCTTGGTTTGCAAATCGAACAGAAACAAAGATTGGTTTTCCATGGATCTGAAGATGGAGTGATTGATATCAGCACAGTGTTGCAAGTACTTGTGGCTCATAAACGATTAATTTTCTGCCCTAGTAACCCCGATAACGATCTAAATTGCTGTCTGTGTATAAACTTAACATCTCTTTTACATGATCATAGACAAAACGCACAAAACTCAGCAGTTGAGATTCTCAAATATCTTCTGCTTTACCGGAAAACCGCTTTGGAAGACCTTCTAGCCTCGAAACCGAACCAAGGCCCGGTTTTGGATGCTTTTCATGGTGGTTTTGACAGACTTGTGACAGGGACAACATCGTCTTTTTTCGATTGGTTCAACACATCTGAGCTTCTCGTTAGCAAGACGTTAGAACAAGGTGCTGCAATCATGTGGGTCCAGTATATCTCTGGGTCTGTAAAGTTCCCGGGAGTTAGAATAAAAAACATGGATGCTCGTCGGAAAAAAGAGATTGCTAAAAAGTCAAAGGAGTCGAGAAAGTTTGACCAAAGACATTGGGAACAAATAAACGAAAGAAGAATCGCATTGGAATCGGTTTGTGATCAAATGTGTACAGAATTGAGAGTCGTGAGACAAGATAAAAACGGATGGGTGCTCCATGCTGAAAGTGAATGGCAAACACATTTACAACAACTTGTACATGAAAGGGGTATTTTCCCAGTTCTCAAATCGGTTTCAATCGAAGAGCCCAACTGGCAGCTTTGTCCAATCGAAGGTCCGTATCGAATGCGGAAAAAGATCGAACGGTGTAAATTAAAATTCGACATGATTGAAACGATTTTAAACGGGGAGTTTGAAGGTGGAAGAGAGTTTTTGTTGACTAGGGAGAAAGACGAAATTGACCTCGGTGGGTCTGATTTTTTACCTCATGAATTGTTCGATGAGGAGTTGTATGATGATTCGGTTTTTAAAGAATCTGACAATGTGAAAGACGCGGGGTCCACTAGAATCGGGTGGAATGATGGAAGAGACAGAGATGACAGTGTTTATGAAGCAAGCGTACATTCAGCTGCAGAATTCAGTATCAAATCAAGTACACTCGCTCCGCCTTCATTGAGAAGGGATGCTTCGATAGTTTCTGAAAACGTTCGAATAACAACAACAGAGGAGAAAGTTGAGAAAGAAGTAAGTGACAATGGGGAGCATTTGATTAGACCTTATCTTGAACATAACGAGAAAATAAAATCAAAATATAATTGCGAAAGAGTCGTGAGTCTTGATAAACATGATGGGGTGTTTCTAATAGGAGAACGTTCCCTTTACATTATCGAGAACTTCTACATCGATGATTCCGGATGCATATGTGAAAAAGAAAGTGAAGATGATATCTCGGTTATCGATCGAGCTTTGGGGGTTAAAAAAGACGCGTCTTTAAGCATGACAAATTCGATGATGTCATGGGACACGAATGGGAAAGTGTCCACTGGGGGCAGGGCGTGGGCCCACAATAGTGGGGCATGGGGGAGGGACAAGGCCATTAATAGTAGCAATGTACCTCATTTATGGCGGATGTGGAAGGTTAATACTGTCCAGGAGATTTCAAAACGTGATTACCAGTTACGTCCTGTTGCTGTTGAAATATTCAGCATGGATGGATGTAATGATCTTCTTGTATTCCATAAAAAAGAGAGGGAGGAAGTTTTTAAAAATCTGAATGCAATCAATCTTCCGAAAAACACCATGTATGTTTGTTTTTCTCATAAAATCTTTTTAGTCTTTCTTTTTTGTTGTGGTTGTTGACTTGTGGAAATTTGTTTTGTTTAAAATATATATAGGTTGGACCCGACAATTTCAGGAGCTGTGAAACAGGAAAGCACGTTTAAGATTATGGAGAAATCATTCTCCAAGATGTGGCAAAATGGGGAAATTAGTAATTTCCAGTACTTGATGCATGTGAATACACTTGCGGGCCGGGGGTATAGTGATCTTACTCAATATCCGGTTTTCCCTTGGATTTTATCGGATTATGAGAATGAGAATTTGGACTTCACCAATCCGGAAACGTTCCGGAAGCTTGACAAGCCTATGGGATGCCAAACAATGGAGGGGGAATTGGAATTCAAGAAAAGGTTGGCCTCCTTTATAATTTAGTATTTTGGAGTTTGGAAGTGTGGGTTTGTTTGCGGGTAAATGCAAGAAATAACAATGCACTTTTTATACTTTGAAAATCTACCCATTTATAGGATATAGCAATGTCATGTAATTCAGTAGATCTTTCAAAGTATATTGTCTGAATAAGAAAAAAAAAGGTGAAAGTACAATGCTATAATTGGGTAGATTCTTCATAGTACAATGGTGTAATAGAAAGAAATGAAAGTAGGTTGCTATTTGTAATGTGTATGTATTGGGGTTGGTTTTGTTGGTCAGGTTTGACAGCTGGGATGATCCAGAGATTCCCAAGTTTCATTACGGGTCCCACTATTCTAGTGCTGGAATCGTGCTGTTCTATCTGATAAGGCTGCCTCCATTTAGTTCAGAAAATCAAAAGCTTCAGGGGGGGCAGTTTGACCATGCTGACCGACTTTTCCATAACATACATGATACATGGTCAAGTGCTGCTGGAAAATCCAACACCTCAGATGTTAAGGAATTGATCCCAGAATTCTTTTATCTGCCAGAATTCTTGGAAAACCGTTTTCATCTTGACCTCGGGGAGAAACAATCTGGAGAAAAGGTCTGTTGTCATTATTTTGAGTTTTGATAAATGCAAATGTCAAGGTCAGGAAGGTAATTTTTAACAACTGGTTACTTTCCCAGATTGGAGATGTGGGATTGCCTCCTTGGGCCAAAGGTAGTGCTAGAGAGTTCATCAAGAAGCATAGAGAGGCTCTGGAATCTGATTATGTTTCAGAGAATTTGCATCACTGGATCGATCTTATATTTGGTTACAAACAACGAGGGAAGGTGCGTCCTTGGTTTTTTTAATAATAATTTCAATGATAAGGGCATTTAAGTAAATTTTCACTTGGGTTTTTTGAACAGGCGGCTGAGGAAGCAGTTAATGTTTTTTACCATTACACATACGAGGGAAGCGTAGACATAGACGCAGTAGCCGATCCCTCGATGAAAGCCGCAATTCTGGCTCAGATTAACCACTTCGGTCAAACACCGAAGCAGATTTTCCACAGGCCTCACGTGAAAAGAAAAACCGATCGAAAACACCCCCTTAATCCCCTCAAATTCTCCCCACGTCTCAACCCACACGAGATCCGTAAGATGACGCCACCAATCGCCCAAATCGTCACCCTAAACGATAAGATTCTAACAGTGGGCCCAAACAACTTTATCAAGCCCAGAACCTTCACCAAATACGTCGCCTGGGGTTTCCCGGATCGGAGCTTAAGATTCATGAGCTACGATCAAGACCGCCTCCTATCCACCCATGAAAACCTTCATGGCGGCCATCAGATCCAGTGCGCGAGTGCCAGCCACGACGGTCAACTGTTAGTCACCGGCGCCGACGACGGGATGGTGTGCGTGTGGCGGATTGGAAGCTACTGTGGGCCCCGCGCACCGCGAAGTTTAAACCTACAGCAGTCGCTTTGCGCCCACACCGCTAAGATCACACGGATCTACATCTCCCAACCCTACATGATGATTGTCAGCGGTTCCGACGACTGCACCGTCATCATGTGGGATTTGAGTTCGTTAGTTTTTCTCCGGCAGCTTCCGGAATTCCCTTTCCCGATCTCTGCTCTGTACATGAACGATTTGACCGGAGAAATCGTGACTGCCGCCGGTGTTTTGCTGGCGGTTTGGAGTGTGAACGGAGACTGTCTAGCGGTGGTGAACACGTCTCAGCTTCCGTCTGATTTGATTCTGTCGGTGGCGACTTGTACGTTTTCCGATTGGGTGGAAACGAACTGGTACATATCGGGTCATCAAAGTGGGGCGATTAAGGTATGGCAAATGGTTCATAACTGTTCGGAGACTGCCCGAACTGCCCACAAGCATCCTTCTGCTCAAGTGCATTGTGGGTTAGGGATTAGAGGGGGTAAAGTGCCTGAATATACGTTGGTGCTGCACAAGGTGCTTAAGGGGCATAACCACCCGGTTACTGCACTTCATCTTTCAAGTGACTTGAAGTTGTTGTTGAGTGGTGATTCAGACGGGCATTTGTTTTCTTGGACATTGCCCGATGAGACCTTAAGAAATTCTATTAAATGGGGGTGATGTGATGTGATGTGATGTGGATTGAATCGGATATTGTTTAACTGTTTAACCAACGAGATGTGACTTGAGTTGTGTTTTTGGTGGAGAGCCTGAAATGGGTATGGTGTCCATCCTCGATAAGATAGCACGAAAAGGGTTGGCGGGGATGGACAAGAAAGGGTCGGGGTTGGTTCAGGTGGGAGAGATCTGGCGGGAAGTGGCTCGGGGCTGGGTTGGGGGGCATATTGGTAATTTTGAAGTTTGGTTACAGGTTGATGTGTGAAAGTGAATGAATGATTTGTTGTACATAAAAGGGGTGGATGTTGTTGAAACTGATGTGAGTGGTAGTGGTTGGTGTGGATCACGAAATATGTGCATGCATTGATTCGGATGACTATGAGTGGTGCACATGTTGTTGCGTGTAATGCATCGGTTTTGACTAGGGATGTACAGTTGCCATTGTTCGATTTTGTAAGTTATGTTAGTTCTTAGAGTTGTATGATTATGAGTTATCAATCCAAAATCAAGTTTTAAGAGTTGAATGAATTTGTTTTAGAGTTGATGACTTCATCAAAAAGTAAGTTTGATTTTGGTTTTATATTTTATCTTTTAACAGGTGACAAGGGTAACATTAGAAACAAGGTTGTCAAGAGCTGGATCTTAGGTAGTATCGTTTTTTGGTTTGCAAGATCGGGATCAGGATACTAAGATCCTAAAAAATAAAACATAATTTTATCTAATTATTTTAAAATATGAAAATTATTTCAAACATTCAGTTTTCCGTTCAAAAACTATAAAAACTTCAAAACTTTATTCACAACTCAAAACACAAAGTGACAAACGATAAATTGGTAAAGGGTAAAGATATAAAAGGGTAAATTTATTTTTTTCAATTGCAAAAAAGAAAAAAAAAAATCAAGGAAAGGTAGGATCGGATCGGATCCCGATCCTACTTACGATCTTACCTGCGATCCTATCCCAAATACGATCCGTTTGCGATCCGGATCGTTTTTCATACCTAGGATCGTAGGATCGTACGATCTCACGATCAAGGTCGCGATTTTGACAACCTTGATTAGAAACATCAAGTGTATTAGCATGACGTTACGTCATTAATCTAGAAATTTCAACACGAACAAATCTATGAAGATCTATCTTTCAAAAAAAATCTGTGAAGATCTACAAGGATCTAGAACGAAAGAAACACAAAAAAAGAAATGAAAGATATCTTTCCGTTGAGTGTCGGAGAAGAAGATCGGAGCCCTACCGCTCTGATACCATGTGAAAAAAGTGAAGAAATAAATGTTTCCAACATCAACGAGTCTTATATCATTTATATATCATTTAAGGACAAAAAACCAGAAGGTTTTCAGTTACTTACAATAAGAAGTCTCACTATAAAAGTCTAATCTACTCTCAGAACATAACTCTCAGTCCTAATCTAAAACGATTACAAGAACAGATTGAAACAATGGTGAAAGCCTAAAATGAGAGAGGGAAGAACGAGAGAGCAGATGGATTGTAGGTGAGAAAATAATGACTCGAAATGATATCCCATCTGCTCTCGAGACTTTAAGTATTTGGGTCAATACCCGACCCATTTAGGAAAAAGATCCGCATGCCTTGCAACAACTTTGAAAATAATGCTCTGTGGTCCACATAAATACCAATCTAACAAGAAATACCCTTGAACCAAAATATACTTACAAAACTAACCATCAGAAACTTACCATATTAACCCTAAAAAATAGACATTAACAAAATACAACCCTAAGACTAATGAAATGTTAAGTTTGACTTAAATATGATGTTATGACTTTTAACACAGACAACAAAAGAAAATTTTCGCTAAACAAGAGGAGCTTCACAAAAGAGATAAGTCAATTCCTTATTTTATTCTTTTTATAAGTAGCATGAACATGAAAGAGAGACAACAAGATATTAACATCCCTAAGGAAGTCTAGGATAGAAAGAATTTACATAAGCAAAAAAAAAAGAGTTGACCGGTAATCTAACATTATTGGATCAAAGTTCCTAGCTATCTTCCAAACAAATCTCCTTTTTGCAATGTCTTTTCAATAGCACAAGTAAATGTATGGTGCGCATAACTGTTGTCATCTACATTTGGAGAAATGGATCGGAAAAAGACTATTCGACAACAATAAGAGGAGACAATGAATGTGATCGTGTCCTCTTTTTTTACAATTATACCTACTATGAAAATGTGCACAATCAATTTGTAACAAGCAACAAGAGCGAATACGTTGTTTTTTTCTTCTTTCCCAAAGAGCACTCCTTATGACTAATGTATTGACCTCTTAAAGCATTTCAATAGAAATATACAAAGAAATGTATTTTTAACCACTTAGCATTGACAAATTTGCTTTCTTTCCCGCATTCGACCGGGTTTAAAATGACCAAATAAATCACAATGAAAAAGTCGGAATAAATGTATGATCATTGATGATTGAGATTTTTAAGTCATTTCTAAGGAAATTCATGTTGGTCCTTTTTAATGATATATATATATATATATATATATATATATATATATATATATATATATATATATATATATATATATATATATATATATATATATATATAAAAAGAGAAAATGAAGATCATGGAGAACAATTAAAGGTCTCAAAATTTTTGTTGAAAAGCCAATTATATGTATACAAAAAAATGTGAGTTTGCCAAATGAGAGATTCGATGTTTAAGTTGCATCTTTTCACAAAAAAAGAGCGAAGTAGTGACCATACCTAGAATGGATTGGACCAGTACTGATTTACAAGGTGTGATTATTGGTTCTTAGTATTATACAAATTTAGTTTTTTTTTTTTTACCGTTTCGGTTCAATCAGTTTTGAGTGCAGATTGGTTTGGACTGAAATTTTAGAATGCTTAATAATTAGTTTTTTTTTTTTCTTTTTTAAATAATTTGTATTCTATGAAAATTTTAAAACATGCATATCTCATTTGTTTGAAATCATATTGACATGTTTTTTTTTCCAACTTATAGTTTAGAATTTGTACATTATTTTAGACTATAACTTTGTCATTTTTAGTTTCATATTCAATGACTTAGAATCCTTCGAAGTTATAATCAATAAATACTTTTTTTTATCTAAAATAAATAATAATAAAAAATTGTATTTTTATTTTAAATGAAAAGTCAAAGTCAAACAAAAAATCGTATTCGTTTTAAGCCTCGTAATAAATAAAACTTTAACATAAAAAAAACTAAAGTTTAACGTCTTGTACCATATGCAAGTAAAGTTGTAACGGTCTAGTGGATAGAAGAACCGGAAAACTGGTACCCAAACCCGGAACCGGCCCCAGAATCCGTAAGCATCCACAAGTCCAGTTTTGTCCAAATGTTGGCCCCTAAAGTGAAGTGGATGATTCCAGAGCAAAGGCCATGCTAATCGTGCCTCAACCAAAAACAAGAATGATTTATGAAAAAAAGAATTAATGGCAACTAAAGAACACAGAAATAATATATAGTATTTTTTTTCTACGAAAAAAAAGTAAGTATGGTGAGGTTGATGCCATGCCATGGGTGGGTCAACTAAGGAATTCGGTTCCACTGCTTAGGAATAAAAATACGAGTGTTCAACCCAAATATACAAACATGTCTATTATGTAGACACACACCACACCACACCACACCACCTTAAAACTTTTCTAAAACAAATCAAAATTACAAAAAAAAAAAAAAAAAAAAAATCTATCAAGGGGTAAATTTTATCAAAAAAAAAAAAAAAAAAAAACAAATTAAAACTATAGAATGGGTTTTTGGAAAAATATAGCACTAGTCTACGAAAGCTTTGACATAAGCATTCTCTCTCTCTTCTCTTCTCTTTTCTTCTATGGAACCAACTTCTTCTTCTTCTTGTAACAATCAACCAAGCCAAAAAGGTTGTAGGGATATTACATCTCTTCCCCCACCCAATTTTACCTCAAAATCTGCTTCTGCTCTTGGTTAAGTAGTAAAACCAATTGCAAACTTTTTTCCTGTTTGTTAAATATAAAAACATCAACATGTCTTGTTATATAACAACCATAACTTATTTACTTACTAAAAAAAAACGCTTGAAAAGTTTGCATGCATTTTGGTTGAGTTTGACCTTTTTTTAATAAAAGGCTTCGGGTAGTTTTCTGTTCCAATTACTAAAATGGAAGAGGTTTGAGCAAAAGGAGTATTTTACGAACCACCCTTTTTTCTTCTTCTTTTTGGGCTAAAAGCAAGATATAGTCACACACTTTCACTTATTTGTGTATAACAGAATAGCATCCTACTTTGATTTCTATTGATTAGTTTGAAAAATCTAGCGAAATAAAATATAAATATAGCAGCGAAAGTTGGTTTGTATATGGAGGGCATTGATTTTTCAAAGTAAAATGTTGGCATAGGATAAGAAGAATTAATGGAAGTAGATTGGTAATGGTATTTGTTGTTACCTGATTGGATTATTGTTGGACTGATCGGTGTATCTGAAGTATCCAGTCAACGTAACCATTCATACCACCAACCGCATCCTCAACAAGATTTGAAAGCAAAAAGAAAGCTTCACGAGGCTGTTCCCCTTGTCTCACAAGATGACATAAAGGATAATATGACGCATCCGCACCTCTAAGTTTCTTTAGTATCCCCATCAGCTTTCTTGACATCTCATTATCACGTTCTCCAAGACTTACCTGAAATTTTTATCAACTAAAATCAATAAACACTAGCACCAAACTATTACTCTTTACATAGAACAACAGCACACCCCTAGTCACTTCACTTGATTATAAATATAACAGATGCATAAAAACATAATCATACCTTTGAGAAATCTGTAGCAAAATCTTCCCCAACCAGATTCCTGGAAATATCAGGGGACAGCATTTGACCAAACCACACAACCAAACGAAAACCATCATCATATATATAAATCCCTCGAGAATCCAAGCTCTCTGCAGCAAGTGCCAGTCTTCTACAAACTTTCTCAAACTCATCACCATGTCCACTCGGCTGCACATAAAATATAACATAACTCCCAAAATCAAAAATAAAAAAATACAAATAACAGGATCCATATGAAGAAAAAAAAAAGGGTAAATTGAAAGAAATAGCAACGTACTTTCCTCTTTTTACCGATATAAACAATACACTTTATTTTAAAATATAACTACATTGCTATTATGGGTTGTTGATAGCAAGAGTGAAGGAGACTCAGCTATGAGGAAAAAAAAAGGTTTACCTTGACAAGATAGTCGTCTACACGTAACAAACTAGGATACAAAAGCTTTAACATCTTTTTAACAGGCAAAGCCATCATGGTGAAACCAGCTGCACACCTTTCATCAAGCTGTGAATCAGCATACCCACCACGAAGTGCTGTTGATTTACATAAAGCCAATCCGTATAAAGGTAAATATTTTAATGACTCTGGGTAGATCATGCGTGTTCCCACACGGTGTTGAACCGCATACAGATTTCGGTATTCTTTAAGGGCTTTCACGATTCTTAGCTGGATCGCGTTACGCGCCTCCTCCAGTTTGTACGACAAAGATTTTTCAATCGCTACAACACATAATTAAAATAAATATTATATAACTTTTTTTTTTTTTTAAAGTAAAAGAGGCAGAAAAAATCTGGTTACCTAATCTACCAAGCAAAGAAACAATGGCACCGGTATCTGCCTGGCGATACATCTCTCCTAAATCAGCAACCACTGATGCAGCAGCAGTGTGTACTCTGATACGTCTTTCACCCGAAGATGAGGTGTGTCTTTCAATTGATGTTAAGTATTTATAAATAATTAGATTGTTGTCTGTTGATTATATTTTATATATATTCCAAAAGATGTGGAAACTTGAAAGAAGTGAAGGATACAATAGAGCAACTTGGAAATAGACAATCTGAGTTGTGAGTAACGTCTCTTCAAGAGCAAACTGCATTGCATAAGCTTTGTCGCAGTCAACAGCCGGAAGTGCTAATAGATCCGTGGATCTTAACATAAAGTTCCCATGATATGAAGTGAAACGAACTCCTATATATAACATAATTTAAGAAAAATAAATTAATTTCTACCTAAAAATAATCACTTGCAACATCAAACCTTTATAAAAGTAAGAAATTGGAAGCAATGAAATCTGTCAAAGGAATTGTAAATTGTAATGACATGCGTTTGGTTTAATGTGAGAAAGGGAATGGAATTCACCACGAAAAAAAAAAAAAAAAAAAAAAGAACAATTTATCGTTTTTCACTTATAAATTTTAATGAGGGAATTTTGGTTTTCCAATAAAAACGGAAGAATGGAATTGAATTCCTTCCACCCAACACTAGGAAGGGTGAAATCAATCAAACATGGAGTTCAATTCCATCCATTTAGCAGCCAAACACACTATGGAATGGAATCTCGAATTCCAATTCTGTCAGATTTCATCGGAATCCATGAACCAAAAACACCTTGAGACTAACCTTTCCCACATCTGATGCGCATTACAGCTTCCCAAGCAGTTTCTCTAGTGAGGTCTCTAGCCAACTCATGTCTCAATTTGTCTTTATGGATGGCAGAATGAAAGCTTGGATAGTAATAGACCTGACCACCTGTGTATTTCGCCAAAGTACCTAAAAACAAAACAATAAATTAATATTTTTTAAACGACTGAAAACAAAAAGTATGTTGACTAAGGGTAATTAATATGAGTAGATACCTAGCGAAGCTATATCAGTGTACTTGTCACTAAAGGCATAAACATTGACTGCAACTTGATACTTGGTAAAATCAGCAGCCATTTGTTTATAAAAAGGATCTTCTGGTATTCTCTATCATCTCCTCGCAACCTTAACCTACCCACACCAAGTGATGGAAGAGTACTTTGAAAAATTAACAATTTCCCTCCCAGTTGACTCTGCATCAAACAAAAAAAGTCTATGATGGTCAATACAAACTAAAGCTTTTGAATGGTGTAGAAAATAGAACTGAAGAAACTAACCATAACCATGAAAGCTGCTTTAAGTGCAGGCCCAAAAGCAGATTCCACATTCACATTGTCCTGAAACATGGATGGCAAGCTATCCAAGAATGCATCCACCACAGTTCTCGATTCTGATAAGTTCACAAGGAGATCATCTGGCAACGGAATAAATATATCATCCAAATCAGAGACAACCATCATTTGAGGTTGTGTCAAAGATGACTGCCAATCCAAAAAAAAAAAAAACAAGTCCAACATCAGTTAGCAAAATGTTAGAGAAAGGGTTTTGAGAATTTTTGAGACCATTTAATCTGTAAATTACTTGCCTTCATATTGTAAAAATGAATTGTGCTGTCAAAAGTTATGAACCCAATCTGTGTTCTGGTGCTGCCCGGCAACTTATCCAAACAAGACTTGATGGTTTGTCCAATCACCTAAAAAAATATATGATAATTTACATAAAATAATATATATATATATATATATATATATATATATATAAACAAGTCAACAATTACAACAGGCATTACCTCAAGCATTCCGCTTTTAACGGAATATATTGACACATCGATCAAGAAAAAATATAGTGGTGGCATTGGTGGCCGCACCATGTATTCAGCTGGAGCAACGAATTCCACACAACCCTTTGTAAGCTCAGGATGTTGATCTAAATCAACTCTTTTTCCGGTGGCATCCAAATGGGCAAAATAGTCATTTTGCACTGTACATTATGATAGAAATTGATTAGCATGACCATATTAGGAACCTCAGTTGTCAAAAGGGAACCTGTTAGCCTCGATGTTATGATGTTAGATTTGATGATGTCATGTTGGTAGTTTAGGCTGTCAGTTTGTAATAAAAGGCTCTTCATAAAGTCAGTTTGGACCTACTCAATAGTCATTTAGTCTATGTGATGATATATTGACACTTTCAGTTATGAGAAACAGTAGATATATTGTTAGAATGGATTTAGAGCATTACCATCATTGAGCAAAGCACAAATATTGCATCGCCACTTTCTTCCACCATCAGTAAAAGTCACATACGGGTTCACATATGTACGACATCTTCTACAACGCACAATGCCTGTTGTGGCAAAATTAACAATTGGCACTTCCTCCTGAGAAAAAAAAAAGAATATAATAAAAAAATTATATTTTTATTGTAATTGCTTTGACTGTATAGATGCTCACCCCTTCAGGAGCTTCTGCCAGTGGACAAACAACTGCTCCAAGAGGCAAGTGCCACCTGGAAACAAGAGACTGAGAATTTGGTATGGCACTAGTTGTAAGCCTCAGATATCTAGAATTGCAGTTCATTGGATACATTTCAGCAAAAGAACTTGGTTCCACATCACCATCTAATGGTCTTGGCAACACTTTAGTATCAAGCCCAGCATCAAAAGATCCTGGGACTGACCCAATAGAAAGTGAGCTGAAGTCTTCTACCAATCCTTGCATACCTCCCGTTGGAGGTGTGGGCCCTCCTACATACATTCCTAGAGGAGATGCAACCGGTGGGGTTGATCCATAACCACCTTGAAAGGGAGCAGATGTGGTGGGCTGAGGTGGAGCATAGCCTCCTGGTGGGGGTGGGGTTGGTCCATAACCACCTTGAAAGGGGGCAGATGTTGTGGGCTGAGGTGGAGCATAGCCTCCCGGTGGGGTTGGTGTTGGTCCATAACCACCTTGAAAGGGGGCGGATGTGGTGGGCTGAGGTGGAGCATAACCTCCTGGTGCTGTTGGGGTTGCTGTGTTACTCTGCATACCCAGATAGCCAGGCCAAGGAGATGATGAGGTGGCACGGACAGCAGCAGGATGAGCTGGCCCCATTGACGGTTGGGGTTGCTGCATATTTGAATTGGAAAGCATACCATTCATGGTTTGAGGTGGAGAACCCATAGGCATTGGTGGTGGTATCTGGGGCTGATGATTTTGGAAGCTTGGAGGTCTGATTGTTGTTGGAGGCAATATTGGTTGTCCAACAGGTGAAGTACGTGGTGGAGGTGCCTGAAATGGTGGAGTTGGGAACCGCTGGAAAGGTCCGGTGGTTGGTGGGCCATATGGAGGAGTAGGTCTAGCAGTTTGCATGGGTCTAAAACCAGGAGCTTCTGGCCCAACCACAGGCCCAGAAGGAAAAGATGGAGCTGTACTTGGGGGAGACATTGGCCTGAAAGCAGAGCTAGCTACTGGACGAGATGATGAAAAAGGTGTGTTGCTTTGAGGAGGGGCAAAAGGTGTAGCAGCTGGCCTTGGATAGTTATTTGCATGGTTGGGATTTTCAGTCCCCATAGGTTATTGTTTGGCTTCTGTAAGTGATCTGCAAGAACATGGAACTGAAGCACATCATTGTGGATAAAGCCAATAGCAATATGTACAAAACTTTGCTACAGTGAATCAGTGATACTGGCAAAAAGTGATACTGGGGTATGAGAATTGTCATGAAATAGTAGTCAGTTCACCATGTACCTAAACCTGGGATCATATTTCTCATGACTTACAAATAATAGAAGCAAATAAGTTCACTTTCTGAACTAAACAAGTTTCAATTTCCAACTAAAATCAATTTTCTTATGTTTTAGTTAGCTTACTGATACACTACACCTGTCATTGAACTTGACATCCAAACAGACAGTTTAAAATAACAGAACCAGTATTAATTCAAGGCTTGCAAATATGATTGAAGATAGATTACGCACAACAAAATCGAATTTCTCAATTTACTAGTGGTCAATCCATAAACCTAAACCTGATCTTCACCGGTAAATTCAATTTTAGTGCAATTAAGCCAAGTATCCGTCAATTAGGCAACAAGACTCCGAGCAAATGTTGAATCTCGTTAAGAATTGAGCAGGAACGAAATCAAGAACACATCGGTAGTGTCGCCGAGAGTTACGCGAAAGAAATTACCTGATCGCAGAGATCTAGCAGAAGAGCGACGGAGATCGGCGATGGAGATGAGTACGTCGACTGCAAGTGTTCTCTGATACTTGGACGGTGATTTGGATTTCGGAAGAACTACCAAATTCTCCGTCTTCGTTTCAATACCAAAATAGCATTTCTCCTTTTCCTGGTTATTAATTATTAATGACGGACTATTTAAAAAAATCAATATTGAAGATTGTAAAATATATTGATTTTGATGGGAATATATTTAAAAAATTAAGTGCTTTTCAGAACTGTTATAATTTAAATTTGTAAGGATTAATTTTCAATATTGAAAAAAATATTTATTAGTTTTAGGATAATTTAAATTTACTTGTTAGCTCTTTTTATTATCATAATTGACATTTTTCAGGAATTGCAGGATATGATTGATTGATAATTAAGATGTCTTATAGCCTAGGAGGTTGCTTGTTAATTGTTGCTTATAACCTATATCGATGTTAATCAGTTAGTTGACAAGTACGTTAGGTTGCATACTCCCATAATTAAATAATTTTAGATTGTTTGCTTTTGCGTTATTGCGCAGCTCTTGTCTAAGTCCAACCGTTGTAGTGTCGGATCCTTTAGTCGACAGACTTTGATTTTAGTGGCATGCAATCATATTCGTCAGATAATTAGTTAATATTGATAGAAGTTCTCCCTCGGGTAATAACAGTGTAGTAGCATGAATCCTAAAAGAAAATCTAGGAATGTAAGTAATTAGGCCCTTGTAGCACTAGGTATGCAAAAAGGCCTAACGGTAGCAGTAGCAGAGCATAGTGAATTGGAAACATTAGGGCAATTTTTGGATCTAGTATGGATATGTGTAAAAGGTAGTATAGGCACGTACTACCCGAAGTACATGATCCATATGGGAATCAAGAAAAGTCACAAGGTTACTAAGGAACTAGAAAGGGTTTAAAATTCGTATTAAACTATTCCCATCTCTATCTTCAGCATGGTGATGATCACTAAAGCAAGTGGTTCTGGTTCTGGATCAGTCGGGTGTCAGGTTCGAGCGAGACTGATATACGCGATTGGATAGAGGCGGCAATATCAACAGTTGTAAGAGAAATGATTCCATAAATGTTTGGAACTATTAAGATTGAATTAATAGCCCTATTTGATGAGCGGTATGCTGACGTCGCTAGTACTGTTGTCGATGTAGCCACTGCTGTTGTTTGCTGCAACACCGATTGGAGACAAGGAAATGCCCAACCGAGAGATCAATGACACCAAACCTCCTAATTTTGATGGTGTCAGAGATCCAATTGTTGTCATGAGATTGATCTCGGATGCTTTTACACTTGTGCTTGTCCGGCGAACCTGGAGTTCAGATATGTGTAGAATCTTCTGCGTCTAAGAGCAAAGGACTAGTGAAACTTTGTCACTAAGAACTATTCACCTGTTGAGAAGAACGCGGTGACCTCGGAACAGTTTGTTGAGAAGTTTAGAGAAGAATATGTCCCACTGGTAGAAAGGGAGCGACTAGCTTAGGAATACTTGTCGCTCAAGCAAACAACAAAATCAGTGACATAGATCACTAAAATGTTCACATAGAGGGCCTTGTTTTTCCCAGATTATGCATCTTTAGAATAGGTACACTCTTATGTACTTTCTAGTCGTTTAACAGATGTTTCTCATTAGTCGAAGGATCCACCCGTCACATATTGTTGTACATGTTGTTTTCGTTGAGTTCTCATGTACTATGATACTGTTATGACGTTATTTTGTACCTTGTTTGTTATCTTCTATGGTTCGACATGCGTGTGGTTCGGTATATACCTAGTCCGATATATGCCTGATTCGTTGTATACCTTGTTCGGTATACACTTGGTTCGGTGTAGTGAGGGTATACATATAGTTTCGAGCTAAGATATACCCTATTAGCCAAGAACACCCCTAAGTATGGGGTGTTGGATATTGCTTGCAATATCTTCCAACTTCATGTCATACCATGCTTTGACTTTCTTTGTCATAATAGGTATGACATATTAAACTATTTAAGACTTGGAATATGTATTTTAATATATAAAAAAGGATCAAAGCTTTTGTTTGGTTGATTACTCTTTTGCATGCAACATATGTGACAACCCGAAAATCCTTGTCTTGTAAAGTTCAGCTATTCAACTCAGCCGAGTGTCAGCCTTCGTTTTGCTATCTTTTAACGAAATTGTGGGTCTATATGAGTGTTATAGGCTAAGTATAACCTAGATATGAGTCTTAAAAAGGGTTAGAAAGTGTGTAGCATCACAAAATCGGGTCAAACACACCAAAGAAGGTGTGTGCAGCCGCACACCCGCGTGTGCGGCCAGCCAGCCGCACACCTAGCCGCACACACCCTCCAGCCTCACACTCGACCCTATATATTGAACACTTAGCCAACCTTACACCCCTCTTTCCACTCCTTCAAAGCTGGAACATTCTCTCTCAAGAATCCTTCGTGTGTTCATCTCCAATCAGCAAAACAAGTGAGTATTCATCCTTAGATCATTGATACAACACATTAGAAGGCCTTTTCCTCGGGTTTGATCCATGAAATCATCATTCTAGATGATCTTCATGTGTGTACGGCCGCACACACATATTTTGGTCCTAAAATGGACTTAAACACTCATCTACACATAACATGGGCCAAAATACCTTCTTAGGATCATCACAAAGCCTTGGAAAATCGATTTGGACACATTTCTATGGGGGTGTACGGCCGCACACAGGACTGGCCGCACACCCTAGCCGTACACCTGGCCGCACACCCTGGCCGTACACCTGGCCGCACACACATAAAAGTCGAGTTTGGTGGCCTTACACTCAAATTTAAGGCCCTACACTCATTTAAGGACTTCAATAGGTGTTTGTAACACTTAATTCTAAGTGTTTTCATGTCCCTAAGGTGTGTCCATGTGTCTATTAGTGGTTATATACCCTAAGTGTATTCATATATGTGTTATTACATGTTAAACTAGGATCCGTCTGTGCTCACGACTTCATTCGACACCCGACGATCCTATATCAATCTTTCTTTCGAGTTACTCGATTCAGGTGAGTTCATACCCCTTAATCAACCTTTGAAATGATTTTAAATGCTTTTATGGGAGGGGGGGAATACAAGTTGAACTATTAAGTTATTATATCAATCACATATGATTAATAACTGTCAATCAAATAGATTTCTACATGTTAAACTGTTTTATTCAGCTAAAGGTTTTCATATATTACTTTCAAATCTCTTTTAAAGTACTATAATCTCTTTTTAAATTACTAAACTTTTATCAAAGTCTTTTAAACTTATATTCTTGTTAGATTCATGTCTATATAGATATAGTTATATAAGTAGGGTTTGAAGGACTTAGGACTGATAGCCCGCTTTATTTATTGTTCCTTGTTTGGTTGTGGACTTAGAGTATCCGGTTATTTGTCCGAGTGTCGTTGAAGTCCTAGTTATATATTATGTATATCTGTTTAGATATTAAAACTCTTACTCCAGTTCAACGCCTTTGGGTGGCAAAGGTACCTAGATAACCTCTCAAGTAAACTATAATAGGTATAGTTTAGAAACCAACAATAACTTTTATGAGGAGAAACTAGCTATATCAATATTCTAAAACATGTACTTTTAGTAAAAAGAAACGTATATAGCAATTAAACACGAGATACATCCTCATGACGCGGATTTCACCGTTGTCGAGTTGGTAACCAGAGTCTCCTAGAGGGAGAGCGGGCATTGTGTGTATAGATCTATACGGGGCAGACCATCTCACATCCTGACTGCTAGCTACAGTCCCGGCCGACCAAGCCAAGGGGTGACAAATGTCACATTTATTCCGACGCCAGCAGATCGTCGTGTTTATATCCGTCAATCAGTATGGTTACGAGTATCTTCACATTTACCTTATAATTCATGGCCTTAAGGTAATTAGTACCACGGTAGTTTCTACATATAAAACTACGGTACTATAATATTTTCCCTAATACATTAAACTTAGAACGTTTTTGACATAAAACGATAATGTAAAACTATATTTTGATAATGATAGTAACATTTGGGAAAAATACTCTTTAAACACAAAACAGTCGGGTCTTGGTAGAAGACTGCTTTTAGTAGAGAAACTCAATCTTTTAAACATGAAACAGTCGAGTCTTGGTAGAAGACTACTTTTAACAGAAAATATAGGATTTTCTGGAAGGAATTCAAATACTTTATAAACTTTTGTCACCATCATCTAATGAGATTATTATTTTGAGGAAAAACATGTATTTATATCAATGTCATTAAAATACTTATGAACTCACCAGCATTAAAATGCTGATCCTCTCTTTCAAAATAACTTGTATTCTCAGGTCGTCAGTAGGCAGATACACTCCGGGAGCTTTTGCGAAGTCAGCCTTGTACCGAGCTGCATCTTATGTTATTCTCTATATCTATTTTTGATGTTGTTGTTAAATGTAACCTATGTAAAAACTTATACTGTTAATGCAATGGTTGTTGTACTTTGATTTCTATACTGCAATGTGTTGTGATACTTGACATGACGTCCTCCGCCCCAGAACGTTTCCGCCGTTCCGGTTTTGGGGTGTGACAAATTGGTATCAGAGCATTGTTTATAGTGAACTCAGTATATCAAATCATAAAAGATATACAACCTATAAGTACAATGGGATAAAAAACACTCCGACCAAGAGTTATACTTTAAAATATAACCATATTTTACAAAAGTATAAGTACATCCAGAATACATATACCAGAACAAGTATCACAAGAAGAACAAGAATAAAAGTCTTTGGATGTTGAGCATTACCGTCAAACCTGGACAGTTATGTAATCGTAAGCTGGAATAAATGTAGCCTGATCAACTATATTTATTCGAGATGCGACCAACGTGTGTTTGGGAGTGATGGTGATGTTGCAATGAATCTGAAACTTACCATATAGGAATGCTAGAGCCGAACATAAAGTTTAAAATACTATAGGAGTATTTTATGATACTAAAAGACTAACAATAAACCTAAAAGCATGTTCAGAAGTTCTAGAATCAAACATGTAATTAAAATACTATAGGAGTATTTTAGGAACCATAAATAACCTTGCGTGAAAACTAAAAAGACCCTTATTGATAGGTCTATGATTACAGAGTGTATGCTCCCAAAGTTATATATAGTGAGGATCTCATAGACTAAGAATGTGTGGTTTCGCTCTACTTCCTTTTCCTTGTTTGGATGTGGATATAGAGTAGTATCACATATTCGAAGGCCTATTAGATCCAAGTTATATGTGATTTGTGTACACTATGTAATTGTAGAAGGACTCGATATGGATCACACATTAAAATGTTTTAATAATCTCTTAAGATTCTTTAGACATTCCCATTCTCGCATAAACCCCTTTAGAAAACCTTATCCACTTCAGTAATCGGCAGAGGAGTTGATAAAGACCCAAAAGAGGTTCATTGAGAAGATTTCCAAGTAGGAAATAAATGAACAGTGATGAGACTATTGAAATCGCCATGTGCCTATACCTTTTAGGGACATCGGTGGGAATTTCGCCTGAACTTCCGAGATTCCAGTCATCCATTATGTAGTGACGACGACCAGAGTCAGAATCGGAAGTAAGGCGGAGTGGGAAATTCAATATGTCTACAAGAGAAGAGAACCCTATATAAGTACCCGAAGAAAACCAACATTTATTCCAGTCAAGAGTAAACGGAGAACAGAAGGAGACAATGTATGAAACCCGAGAAGTGTTCTACCCCTATAAAGTCACACTAATAACCCATAAATTAATGCAACTTAGTGAGTTAGTGGTTACACTACTCACACTATGTGTTAGGCAAATTGTCTTTCCTGTCGCGACTAAGATAAATAGATCGGATCACAAAATCTCGATTGAGAGTGTTTAGCCCTAAACTTTCATGAGTCTTCTTCTTGTGTAATCTTCGTTCCGAAGTTCTTTCAAATCTTTTCAAAGCCGGAGAGTGAACCTCTCAAATATAAAGATAACTTAGTTGGAACGACACCTGATTTATGGCTTTCCGATACACTTACTTCTACCCTGTTACCAGGACTGCATCATAGGGATGTAGGTCGACCCTTAGAGAACCATAGCTCAAACCGTGGGAAAAATTTATGCCTATTATAGTAAAGAAAGATACGTCTAGGGGTAACCATCGTTTCTCATCAACTTGTGTTCCTCATCGTGTAGGAAAAACCATGCCTCCGAAGAAACGTAACCAACCCGCTAGCAAGACACCGACTCTTCAGATCGATGAAGCTACGTTCCAAGCTGCAGTTTCAGCAGCCGTAGCAGCTGTCATGGCTCACCTGAATGCTAACAACGTAAATGTTAGCAGGAGCCCTATCGGGAATCCCAATCATAGCAATGGACAGCAGCAATCAGCACCGGTGTGTAAAGCCACCCAAGAACTCCAACCTAATCCTTCTGAAAAGAAAGTTTGGGAACGAGAAGGGGAGTACCTCGACTCAAGGACCTTCCGAAGGGCAGCAAGCTGAGGTAGTCAATACCCCTGTCAACCCGCCTGTCTCGACACCAAGAAGACCATACCTAGGAAACTTCCCCACTGCAGCAAGTGTGACTACCATCATTATGGAGTCTGTCGAGAACCCTTTTGCGTTAGGTGCAACATGAAGGGGCATACCGCTCGCAACTGCAGAACTCCGGTTGAGTTCATTACATCAACCACCAATGTTGGGACCAGTCTAATATGCCACCTATGTGGTGAAATTGGACATTTCAAGAGGGACTGCCCAGCTGAAAGAAATGACAAAGACGCAGGAGGAGTTTAACCCTAATACCTAGAGGAACATCAAGGAACCCGGTAGAATTTTGGTACGCTTCTCAACCTTAAGTAGCTAATCGAAAACTTTAAATAATCAATTCTAATTATAATTACTCCCTCGTTAAGGCAAAAGTCGTAGAACTGTTGTAAAACTTAAAAACCCAT